AGCAACTGCCATATGATTGGTTGATTAGATAATTGCATTAATGAGAAATTGAACAGGTGTTCCTAATAATCCTTTAGGTGAGTGTATGTAAAAACAATGTAATAACTACAATCATCTGCATGTGATAGTATTGAAACTACATTTCCTATTTTATTCCTTAGATATATTAGAGGACAAACTTCTCATATACTCCTATACTGCAACAAGGTTTATACAGATAAAATAAATATTATGCGGGAAATTATACTGAAGTAACAAATGTTGGTAGTTAGGGATCTGCAGTAAAACATCACTGAAGCTCTGCGTGTTTTAATTTCTTTTAAATAAATCAAAGTTTTCTACTTAGAACTCATCCATTTGTAATAAAGATTACCAACTGTTACGGTTCATTAACAGTTTGTTGTCAGCCCTATCATGTATCCACACTTGCCCCATGACACCTATCACCAGAAACACCATCAAACAGCACATTCAAATCAGCCTTTTACATCAAACAGCATTTATATAAATCTTAGAGGCAGCTCTGCCGTCACATCATCCCCATATCCGGCCTCATTAGTACACGCTGCTGCAGTCTCACTGTCGTCACTACTCTTTCGTATTGATTTTCCACTGCTCCCTTATGGGTAATCAGGGACTCACAGGAGGTAAGAGTGACAGCAGCACTGACGTGTTCATGGCAAACAGATCACAGGAACCCCGACTGAGATTTCCGGAGGGAAAGTGGGTGCTGTTTACTATGTTGCATTCTGGGAAAATTACCCAGCTGGAGTGGATCAGTGCCTGGACTCTGGAGGCCATTGATGACTGAGCTGGGGAAGTGAAGGCCCTATCAATAATGACAGTGATTTCACCTCTGAGCAATAATCACCAAAACAGTGAGCTATAAACAGAAATGGCTCTGATAGGTATTTGGCTGCTCCCTGATGGCAGGCCAAATGTCTGCTACAGAATTGATTCTGGGAACCATTGAAAAATGTCAACAGCTTAATTTGGTCAAGATTAGGCCATATACTACAAAGTTTCTTAATTAATGGGAGAAAGACAGTCAGCAGCTTTGCCTCGACTGAACATGACCATGTAGAGGGCAGAGATCCCAGGTGTCATCCATCATTGTTTCTGTTTATTCACTTATGCAAGAACCATTTACAGTAAATGTATTCCTAATGGATTCCTTAGTTTCCTGTGTACATAAGTCAGTTATTTTTTGTTTTGTAATAGATGAAATCACACGGTGGACATTTAAGCCTTACTAGTGACTACCCTTCCAGACAAGGCAACAAAATGCTCATATACCCAATAAAAATAAAAACTCTACAGGCCAAGTGTAAATGAGAAGTCACAAATGAATGACCTTTCACCTCTGTGAGCCCTTGTGGCCTGTCAGCCTGTGTCAAGAGACTCCCAGGTAAGCATCGCTCAAAAGGCCTCCTTCTTTAATTTAATAACTGTTTCAATCCCCAGCCTCACTCAGCATCTGGGAGGTCTTTCCAGAAGTCTAAGCTGAAACTATTTCTCACGGAAGCTTCAGCCAGATATTCCCAGCAAAATGCTGACATCTTGCCCAGGTCTTCCTGGCCCTGACCTCCCCCCGATATACCCAATCAAGCTCTGCTCCTTTGTTCAAATGAGCACAGCTTGGTGGTAGGGTGATGTAGCTGATGTGCCTCTTCAATGATGCACAGGCAGGGGAAAAGTACCTTTGGGCTGATAAAAAGGGGACCAGAAGCTATGTGCCAACTATTGAGAGAATCATACTTCTCGATTTTCATGACAATATACTAGAAATATATATATCAAGATCTATATATTGTATATATATATATATATATATCAATGATCAAACCTAGGATTCAGGAGGAATAACGCTGATTCCGGCCTGGCAGTGGAACAGTGGACCAGTGGTTTGTGAAAATGTGCTAACACGCCCTACATGTGAACTGTTGATTTTAAGAAGGCAAATGATTACAAATACTATGGGAGATGCTGCAGTAATATGGGATACCACGGTTACTACTGTATGCTATTCAGTTCTTGAAAGAATGTAGTGAGAGTTGTATCCACATCCTTACGACGAGGTCAATGTTGTTTAGATTGGGTAACGGCCTATTTGCGGATGATATTGTTCTTTTGACCACAGTCCGACTTGGATCCCTGGCATACACTTGAGCAGTTCAG